CAGTTCTGAACTAAAAATGTTTATTTGTGCATCTTCTAAGGCTTCTACAAGGAATCAAAATTTTTCTTCCAAAAAATAATCGTTTTACCAAAGCAGGCCAGTGTCTCCCAAAGGAATGAATAGCAGCCTGTTACTCACAGCTGTGCTTCTCAGCCCTGCTCAGCACATTCTGCACATCAGAACGAGAGAAAGATGTGAAGAACTATTGATCACTGCTTCTTAAATGCACTGAAATTCTGAATTTAACAAAAGCACAGGCCCGATGCTGGAAATTTCTGTATGTTCCCAAGACAAGCACGTTGTGAGCACGGCTTGTGGTGAATTGCTTGTGGTGCCCCAAGTTTAATTATTTTCCCCAGAACCCAACCTGCCTTGGTCCTGTTGCAGGTTGTAATCAGGGCTTTCGAACAGGCTGTCAATTAATGTTCAGCTTGGGAGATTTTTATCATGTCCGTAAAGAATTACACTGTGGCCACTGCACTCACACACTGAATCAAATGGGAATGATATACAGTCAGAGGAAGCCTGAAATAATGCCTTGCTGCTAACCTAGCCACATTATTTTAATTCTCTCTAATTCTCTGTGCCTGTGGAAATCCCACAAGAGAAAATCTAAATAAATGAATCATAATTATAAATGTTGTTTATGTAATTGGTAAATGATGCAGAGATAAGTGAGCGCTGCTCATTCCTACACAAATACAAATTAAATCTGGACACTGCACCAAAGATGTGCCCTCTAGTACTCCAGATTTAACAAGGTTCAAAGATTAAAAGCACAGCCCACTACTGTGATTTGTCTCTCTTTCTGTCATACCAACCCATCCTATCAAAGCAGCCCCATGCACCAAGGGTCCCAAACCGGAATTATGGATCAGATATTTTCAAGAAAACATACAAAGCACGTTTTTCACAATCCAAGTGAAAAAGGAAAGGGCAAGATAATCCGTCAGCAAACTAACCCCTTATCAGGATCATAGGCAGTCCCATTACTGCTATGACAGCTAGCTCAGCTGCGAGCCAAACGCCTGGAAAAGGCCAGCCAAAAATCCATCAGTAAAACCTCATTTATCACCGCTAAAGGAAAAACCGGCACTGCCATCTGAGCTGGCACTGGGGGAGCTGGCCAGCCCTGCCCGCGGAGACCAGGCTCCAGAGCTCGGGGCTGCGCCTCCGGGGCTGGTCAGGGAGCTGCTCCTGGCTGGAAACAGCCGTGCTCCCATTCCAAACAAAACCTATTAAAGCGGAAATAGCAGCGCAGGGCAGAGTGATTTGCAAAGCTCAGAGGTTACAGTGTGTCGCCGAGTCACTCGGAGCCTCCCCCGGCGAGGACCCACATTGATTTTAATATTTTACCAAACGAACTTCTGAAGTTCAGAAGATGGATTATTTGGTGGAGCAAGGAAGCCTACAGATAGGCTTTTGAGCACATCCTAGCTTTTTTTTTTCCCCAGCTCTGTACTGCAAGGAAGCACAATGCATCTGTACCTTTCTTTAAACACATCTTTTCTGGGGACTCCAGTGCTGGATTGACAGCTCCGGAGATTCATTCTGCTGTTTACCCACTGAACAGGCACAACACAGGCAGCACAACCTTTGCTGAGCCTGCCCTACCAATGTGCCTTTGGCACTTCTTAAATAATTTAACACCCTCCAGTAGATGGGATGCATTGCAGAGGGAAGAGGCTGGAGCACCCAGCGCCTCGGCTGCCAGTGACTGTCACACACCGACCGACAGCACAGAGGTGCAGGTACACCTTGACTCAGTGCTGCTGGTGGGCTAATGACAGCGTTGCTGCTCTGCTCAGCCCCAAGGAGGGCTGTGGAGCAGTTATTTTTGTGTTTGACTAAGAGCACTGCAAGTCTCTCTCCACAGAGAGGAGAGGCAATAGCATTCCTTCCCCATTTACCCAGACACAGAGCAACAAGGGTGCAGAAGAGGAGGAGCAGGAGGTGGCCTCCCAGGGCTGGGGGAGTGGGTGCATGGCTTGGTCCCTGCCCCTCATCCCCCCTGGTCTCTGGCATTGCTGCCCTCTCCCTCACCTCACTGATCAGGCCACTTCCAGGGGGTATCCCATGGCTAAGCAGGACACAGGACTGCACTACAGCCATGCAAATTAAGAATTCTTCATTTTCAGCGAGAACCCACATCTTGCCTCTTAAAACTGATGCCAGGCAGTTTGCCTGAGGGACCTCATACACAGCAGATTCTCAAAGGCACCGTTCCTTACTCCAGCAGCAGCCTGGCAGTCACTGCAGGAGCACAACAGGGATGTAGGAGTCACAGGCAGGAGCAGGAGATGGAAGTCTGCTGTTTAAATATCTTCTGTACACTGTGTAAGCACATTCAAGCTCATCTTCCTCAAATTGCTTTACTAACCACATTAACCTCTGGGACTCCCCTTTGTTTCCTGGGGTGAGTGAGTAATAACTCAGGGATACAGCAGTAATGGCTGGGCTCACTTTGCAGTGAGTGCTGCACGAGAGGACCGGTGCAGCGTGCCCTCCGTGGGAAGCTGTGGTTTGCAGAAATGATGTATTATTAGTGCTGCATCTGAAATAACCCGGTAATTGCTTAATGTTTTATATTTACATGGGCTGTACATAATGTTTGCTCTGAGAGAGGGAAGGAAAACCGAGCAGGAAAGGAGTTTGCAATAAACCTACAGTAAGCAATAAAGAGCTATAAATGGTAATCTGTCAATAGCATCAGCTTTGCGAAAGGCTTGATTCAGGAAAAGAGGAGCATCCTCAGCTCCCAACAGATCTAAACCAGCCCAAATTGATGTAGTACCTAGCAGGACTTCCTGAAGGATGAGCTATTAAATGTAAACATACATAAAATCTTATTTGAAAGATCATATTAATTATTAACAAGGGGAAGGATGATCTTTCAGATAAGGCACTGGTGTGCTGGGACTCTGCAGTGAGCACTGCTTCTGCCACAGATTCCTTGCTTCATCCTGTTCCTCCTGTCTTTACCCTCACAATGGGGATAATCCCTCTTCTTCCCTCCCTGTGTGGGGCTGTGCTGTCTTTCTGTGAGCATGGATAGTTCCTTAGTAAAAGCAGGTCCCACAGGTCAGCTGTAAAGTAAATAATGGTTGGTAATATTAATTTTCGAGTATTTCTTCTTTCTTTCTATCTCAGTAATTGCTTCCTACAATAACATACATCACACTAATACTCTGAGACAGTGGGTTGGATTTATGCAGAATGAGAAAGGGGCAAGGACCCATTTTATTTCACTTATATAGCAAATGAATAATTCTGCAGAGTTCACCATATTCCCTAAGAACTGATACTAAATCAGGTCATTGCTAGGTCATCATTTTGATCCCAAAGATGTTTGGTCTCCTCCAAGTTTGCTGTCTGCATTTAAACTTCTGTCCCTGGAAAATGGAGAACAGTCATTCACACCAACTTGTGGGGGCTCATCTGTTTTCACAAAAAAAAGCTTCTTAAGATTTTAATAGAGAAACTGCCCACCTTGAGAAACACGCAGCCAAACCCTCGTGAGCAAGTACGTGCACATGTGTGTGCAGCATGATGTGAATACAAACTCAGAGGGGCAGTGGGTAACCAAAGTTTGCAATCTACTGGTTTTCCAGGTCTTCAGTCTTCAATTTATGTCACACTGAATGCAAAATGAAACACCTCTTAGCTGAACGGGCTGAAGAACACCTCTGAAATCAGCTACAACTGATAGCTAAAAACTATTAGGTCATGAATTTTTAAAGCGTGTGCAACGTGGGAAAAACCCACTGGGGAGAGTGTTCTGCACAAACCTGCAGCTGTGGTGGAGGGTGGGGAGGCAGGTGAGACGAGGAGCACTACCCAACCTCCCACCAGCCACACACTGCCATATGGTGTACTGAGAAACTGGCAGGTATGAGGATACAGGAAAACTGAGAGCTGTAAAAACTGTGAGGATATTATACAAGGATTGCCATGTTATACATATTGCAGTCCACTGTGGGCAAAAAGAAAGGAAAAAAAAGAAAAAAGAAAGAAAGAAAAAACCCAACTGAAGCTAATTCCCTCAATTTACATACAGTTGTGTCTTGCAAGTAAAATACAGGATTCTGCCATTCCCAGCTTCTTGCTATACCAAGGGAAAAGCTGCTTCATTGGCAAAAAGGTCGTGCAGGGGTGAGCAGCAACCAGAGCAGAAGGAGAAGCCGTGATAAAGAGTCTGGGGTAGGAGGGAGCAAAGGGCACAGATCCAAGATTATAAAACCCAGGCAGGTCTCACATTAACGTGACAGTTGCCTCCTAAAGGGTCTGCTGCCTGTACAAACTGCATGGGCCAGCGTGGCAGCACCCAAAATACACAATACATCAGAGACTGGGACAGGGCTGAGAGCCTAACCGTGAAGCAGAACTCTCCCTTCCCAGCACCATCGCTCCTCTACACCACCCTGATAATACACACATATGATGATGTCTGCAGAATAGCCAGGGGAAGTGGCAGAACCCTGTCTATGTGGCCATGCAAAGGATTTACACAGTGACAGGGCTGTATGCCACAGAAGGTAAGAAACCCTGTAGGAGATGCCACCACACCTGGTTATTGAGAGAGCTTTATCAAAATTATGGGAAGAAAGAACTAATTAGCAGTTACTGGTAGGAGCAGAAGAACTTTTTGAAAAGGAAGATCTTCTGGCACCTCAGTAAAAAGCAGAGAGGAGAAGAAATACAGAAAGTATGTGAGACTGATGAGAAATGATTTGAAAATTCATAGAGCAGGACTGGGCACTTAGTTACAACGACTGAACAGGAAATGTGTTACTGCTCTATCTGAGGAGCTGCTGCACAGAGAGAAGCCTCCTGAGCTCCAGTGTGCCTTTTCTGGGGCAGGGATTCCCTGCACGTTTGCAGACAGGAGAAGGGATGTTTCAAGGTGCAGCACCTCAGAGAAAGGTGCCTGCATCTCTCCTTCAGGCAGGAGCTGTGAATGCCATCCAACGTTCAGGGAATGACAGAGAGATTGTACTCACCTAATAAAATGTGTCCTGTTATGGACTGACCCAGCCCACAGCAAACACAGAGCAAAGACCTCATGGATGTCAGTGAGAAATGGCAGAGTCCTGGGTGGCATCTGCAAGGGACAAATGGAGGAGTATTTGCACAAAACACCTCTTAGTGGGACAGTCAGCAGGAGTCTCAGTGAGACAGAAATGGCAACACTGAGAAACTGCCTTCCCACTGCCTTCAGACCGTGTCACGAGGCTTCCTGGCAGCGGTCTGGGCATGGACAGCACTGCAAAGAATCTTCCCTAACAATGAGAAAAGTATTTTTCTGACAAAAACCTCGAGGCCCGCCCCTCCCTAAGCGCTGTGCAACAAGATACTCTTACAATAGCTTGCGGGGAAAATCTTCCAGTTGGTCAGCCCAGCCATGGATCTGGGCAGCTTAAGGAGTCTGAATAGATTTAATTTATTATTTTCACCATGGAAATGCTCAACAAAACTGACCTTTTCAGTTTCAATAAAACTGGATTTTCCTGCAGGTCCCCTGTCAGCCACTGCAATAATAAGTGGGAGTGCTAAAACCCAGAATTATTAAAAACTGAAAAAGATTAAAATGGTGCCCCAGCCCCAATGCTGCTGGGTTGGATCCAACTGCACTCACTCTGCTGGCAGAGCCACACTGTCCTTCAAACAGAAAACCCAATTCCATCTGTGATTTTGCTGATGCAAATCTGGAGCATCTGCTAACTTCTATGAAGTTAATCCTGGCTTGCTGGGTCCCACTTGGAGCAGGATATGGCCACTGCATCTCTGCTGCAACTCCTTTCACCTAGGGCAGGCCATTTATGGGAATTCTTTGGTACTGCTGACTATCCTGGCATGTTTATCCTTCCTCATCAAGCTCTACATTTACCTGTTCCTAAGCAGAGCACTAAGACTCAGCCTTCAGGCATCGAGGAAGATGCACCTCTCTTTGCCCTCCCTCTGGCCGGCCAGGGCAAGGATGGACAAGGATGCAGGTGGGGAAAGTGAGCAGGATGAGGAAATGGAGAGGGGCATGGGCAGACATTTATAGAATTATTTCAAGCCTCAAACTTTCTTATGTCTTTTACCAAGGAGTTATGTCATGCCTGACCTTCAGACTGTGACCAAGACCAATAGTTATAAAACATGGCTAGAGAAATATTGATGTCTGTTTAGACACGTGCATTGTTAAGTATCCATTGTTTGGCAGCAGTTGAACACAGAAATTATTTCTCCCCCAGTGTCTGTGTTCAGGAAGGTATCCTCAAGCCTGATGAAATTCAGGCATTCACATCTAAGTCAGTGCTCCTGGACCCAGGTAGTTCTGAAGCATCCAAATCTTCATTTCACATGTCACATTTTTAGCCAAATATAGATATGGGTAGAAAAAATGTAAAACAGAGCAGCTTTTAATAACCTTCTCAGATCCCAGGCAAGCCACATTGCTAACTACAGCTACAACCCCCTTCCATCGTGCCCCTTTCCTCCCCCTGCTGCGTGCTGTGTGAACTCCAAAGGCTGCATTTTCTCTTGAGACTCAAAATGAGTTGTTAACATGCCAGTTCTTAACACTGTACTTGATTCAGATATTTCACGTGTCAGACAAACAGCAACATCTGACTGAGAACAGGAGCCACCTCTCAGGAGCCTGTGATGGGCTGAGGAGTTGCTGTGTGGCACAGGGAGCCCTGGGGACACAGTCATGGGATTCCACTCTCTGTACCTGCCTCCCCCATCCATAACAGACACGTGGCTTGTTTGCCACCCCTGCAGTGAAGTACTGCCTCTCTATGACTGCAGTGCATTACTGGGACAAGATATGGTCACTGCCAAGTAGTGGTGATGCCATTTCCATGCCAAGTGTGCTTCTGAGCAGGCTTCCATGCACGCTGCCTGTTGCCTAAAAGAAAGGTGCAAAACCAGACCAAACCTTTTTTCCTGGCTGTTTACTGTTCCTTTGCACTTTCCAAAATACAAGATCATGCAAGTATCTGAGCTCAGACCCCTTTCTTTCCTTCCTTTTGCTATTATGACACAAGTTTTGGGTCCCCCCCATTTCCGCAGTGGAATTAATCCCTGGAGGCCCAGCCTCAGCTGAACTCAGTATTTGTTGGCTGCAGCAAGTGCAGAATATGCTGCTCAGTAGTGACTCTGCAGCTTTCAGTGGTGCCCCCCTGCTCTCCCTTGTACAGAGGCATGAAAGGAGAAATACTGATGTTCTGCTCCCCGGTATCACAGACTCCATGGTGATGGAGCACCATTTTGTCCAGACTTTCAGCTCCTGGACAAAATCTGGCTGGAACAGAAAGCTGGTGGAGCCAAGAGTCCCAGTAGGTGCTTCCATGTGGGGAAATGCTGAAAGCTCCTGCTCTACCCAAGTTGTCTTAAGCTCAGCCTCTGCTTCAACACAATATTTTCCCCTTGACAGCCAGAGTAAAAATAACTCTTGTTATTCTGAAGACCATCTAAAGTAAAAGCCAACAAAAATAAAAACTTTCTTCCTATTTCTCACTGTCGTTTTTGGAAGAGCTTTACAGCAAAATTGCTGAGGCTGTTGGCATGGGAATAGCTTTTGGTGATACTGTTCCCTGAATGCTGTTATCACATAACTTACTGCAGTTACACAGTGCAGGTGCTGCAGTGGCTCCTAGAGCTGCACGTGGGGTCGGGGCCATTGGGCAGGACACGCATCAGCTCCGTGGGAGGAGATGGTCCCTGCCCTGGGGAACTTAGAGCCCCACAGTGTGATGGCACCCTTGGGGCTGCTGGGACATCTCCAAGTGGTCTTCAGGTCCTCAAGTCTTCAAAGAGGTCCAAATAAAAGCAACTGCCAGAAGAGTTAGTTCCAAGTTTTAGGTTCACTGGAATCAGCAGCTTTATGTTCCCATCTCTGCCAGCTGTGCCTGCACTGGAGAGCAGCAATGCCTTCAGTAGGGAGGCTGTCAGGCTCTGTCAATACAGGGCAAATTACAGAGCAAAGGATTTTAATTATTTATTTCATACCCCCTAAACATAAATAATATTCCTGAAAAACCATAGCAAAGCCAGCTAAAAAATAACGGAAATAAAGGGAGCAAGTGAAAAGCTAATCCTGCAGTAAGGATGAAGATGTGCCCATCCATGAGCTCTGAGTTATAGCATTTTATTTAAGACCTTTTATCTGTTGTTTTGTTCTGTTTACTGGAGCTTTAGACCTTTGATCCTACCATTGCATTTGCCAAAGGCAGTATGGATGATTGCACCTGACACGTTTCCTCTACCAGTGACATTCAGATGCCTTTCAGCCGTATGACCAATGCAGCTGCAGAGCAGGATGCTGATGGAAAGTGGATTAGGAGATTGCTCATCCTCTCAGAAAGTCACCTGAGACAACTGTGTGTCACTAAACCCTGAATCAGATGGAAAGAAAAAGGTATTTTGCACAAATCAGGAATTTGGTTTAATTATCACAGTTCACAGCTTGGGCAGGAACCCAAGGCAGGAGGCTGGTGGTTCACACTCCAGCAAGAAACATAAGAAAACAAGCCAGAGGTTTTTAAAATAGGCATGACACCTCAGGCAAAGTCTGTGGCAGAGAGAGGGAAGGTCCCAGAGCATCCACATCCCAGCCCTGCACCAGGCTGTGCACGCAGAGAAAGGGGGTGTGAACAGCGCCGGCCTCTCTCCCTGGCAGAGACTGAGCTCTGAACTTCCTACCAGCAATCTGGCTACTGAGTCAGAGTGCATTTTAAGCCAAGTGCTTGTGAGATGGGTGTGGGGGGAAGGGGAAACCTCTTCATAGTTTATTCTGCAGAAATCAAAGGTTCTGCATTTCAGCCCCACTTGGTACACACAGCATCTTCGGAAGTGTTCCTTCACATCCGGGTCCAAACAGGCTGCTGCCACCCCACTGTCCCTATGATATGCAGAAATGGGCTTGCCCCTGTCCCCCTTAGGAAATGTGGTGACTATTACCTTCCCAACACAACCTTATATGAAACTGGACTCAAAGGAAGTTTGAGTGCAAAACCAAAGACTACCCGGAGGAAATTAAGCAAGCCCCTTTCTGCACGTCATTAAAGCCCAAATATTAAGGAAATAACCTTATGAGCTGCAGACAGTTTATTTCACTCTGCTAGTTCTTCAAATGACTTTAAATTACACATGCTCAAATAGAAAAGGATGGCAGTGGGTGCTGTAAAGGATCCTGAAAAGGTTGCTGTAACTAAACATTGCTTCTTAACAGGTAGCAGATGAGATGCCAGCCATACCACACTACAGCATAAAATATAAAAGGATTTTTCTAATATTTCTTCTTCACTTTGATTCAAGAAAAAGAAGGCTCCCATTTGCAGCCTATCAAGGAGCACTTTGAACACTGCTGGGATTTTTCTTTAGGTTCCTTATTATTTATGTAATTTTCTAAGAACATTTCTTAAAATCATCCATGGATCAGATATGTTCAAGAAAACAAGTTTTTATATTATTTTTAAATACTTTTAATACTTTTACTCCAGTTAGTCTCAGTATTCCTACGGGAATTAAAGCAACTGAACACAGAATCTGTTTTGTTTTCAAGAGATGCAGCTCTTTGTGTGGTCAAAGAAGACAACTCCAGGCATTTGCTCTACACCACAACCTGTCCTCTGTGTAGTCCTTAGTTCTGCTCACCTGTTATCTACTCCCTGGATAGTTTACCATGCTGCATGGCAGTGTGGATACAAAGAGAGAAAGTGAGGGTTTGTGTGACAACACACAGTGTGGACAGGGCAACCCAATTCACCTGGGCTAGGAGGAGCCTCAGGTGAGGAAGTCCAAGGCCTGATAAATCCAATTACAGCCACTTAACACCTGCTGGTGCAAAGCCCCACCCAAGGAGGCCCATCCCTAGTATTACACCATGTTACCTGTGCAGAGACTGTGGGGAGACTCTTCCCAAGAGCCATCACTGCTGGGACAACTCTAGCAGTGTTCCAGTGTCTCAGTGCCAGCTCTTGTCAGGAGCCTGAGCAGCCCCTGAAACAGAGGTCTCAAAAGTGCCCCAAAATAAGTGCTAATAGCTGCTGGGTCAAACTCTTTACTGGCTCAGTGGCCACAGCTACCCTGTGACAGACACACGGGGTT